TTGCCTTATATTCATATACGTAAAATTCTGTTTGGCGCGTCCAATTGCAGATATAAGTAGAAATAAATGTCTAAATATTACATCATTATGAATATTTGCAGATTTTTGATCGCCTAGGTCTGTCTTTTATAGTAAAATCATTTATTTTAAAAGTAAATGTAATAAATAAATAGATATTAAAATTTTCCTTTACCTATATACATAAATAATGATTAGAATAATAAACAAGCAACAATAATGATTAAATTAAATGGTGTTTTATCTCCGACTTTATTCATTTAATTATTTATCATAGTGATGTTATTAAATATAAGTTAAAATATAAGTTAAAATAAAAGATAAATTTACATAAACTATTGAATAATTGATAAAACGTTCGTTAGAATATTTTGTTCATAGATATTGTCCTTTAATGCTTGTACAAACTATTAGTCGTGGGATATTGCAGATCAAATGTCATTCAATATAAACGTTAACGAATAAAATTATTATCGTCCACTTCAAAAAAAAATTTCTCCGTTTTTCATATAGCAAGCGATTTTCAACCATAATAAAAATTTTAGAGCCAGACTAGAACTTTCTAACAACAGTTAAAAGAAAAGGTTAGCTCAAATATTGGTTATTCTACGCTAGGTCAGAAGTGTTTCTTTCTTCACACTTATTTTAAGATTTTCTTCCACCTAGTATCCAGACTAAAACAAATTCAGCGGCAACAATTGTGCCAAAGTGTTCATTCATAACTACTTGAAAGGTTGTGCTAGAAAAATTATGACTTTAATTATAAGAGACTGATTTATAATTATTTATAGGCTATTAATTTATATTATAATATTAATTGATGAAATGAAACTATCATAACAACACTATAATAGAAATGCTTAAAAGTTAAATAGCCTATTACTACCTTGTATATAAAAAACAAATCTAGGTTTTTACAAGTACAATCTGTGCTTATTATTAATATTATTTATTAATAAATTGTTACGCGATCATCTAGATCTCATATACATCGGAATTAATGAGAGTGAATATAACAAACAAACATGGGACATTTAGTAAGTGGACAATATGCATATCGAAAAGATCTTGGTAGTCTATGCAGTATCTGTAATGAATATTTTTATGAAGTTTTTACTACATTGAATAGCATTATCCATGCACACATAGTTGGTAAAGAAGAAAAGGTACATAATAATATATTTTACTTACAAAATATGTAATGATAAATTTTAATTTGTTATACATATAGAATAGGTTAATTACAGAATTGGAAAAATTGCAGATTCATTCGAGAAGAGGCTTCGAAGAAAAACTTGCCGTAAATAGTGATTATACAATGAATAACATAGTGAACGTTGTACAGAATTCGATCAATTATTTGTAGTCATCAAAAATTTTATGAGTAAATCTGAAGAACAAAAATCCACAATTGAAGAATGTCGGGACAAGTTATATTATTTTCTGGCACACCAAGCAAGGAAAATATATCTGAATAATCAACTTAAATCTGCAAAATTAGACAATAATGGTGCAATTTTAATTTGTGATTATAAAATGCGTATTTTACCAAAGACTGAAAGAGAGACCAAAGAGAAATTCTTTGGGAAGCATGGCTGGACATTGCATACTATTTTAGTTTATACGAAAATTGATACTAACCAACTTAATGTTCAAGCATTTGATCATTGGAGTACTGATACCAACCAAATGCTTGGTTTACAACTTCTTCATTCCACAATGGATTGAGGTGTTTTCAGATAATGGTGCTCATTATCACAATTCGGAATTGATGACTACAGTTTCTTATTGGCATCAATGGTATAGTATTGAAGTTCGTGGTTGGTATTTTTTTTTAGCCAGGGGAAGCAAAATCAAGCGTTGATTCTCATCATGCACAGGTAAAATTTTCTAAAATTATGCAATTATATATATATTTCATTAATTAAAGCCATACCTTTCATTAGATATCTCATGCTATCAAGAGATATGTGCGTGTTGGCCATAATCTAGATGAAGGAGAGAAAATAGGAACAGCAATATGTGGATTAAAGGTGACTTTTGTAGCTCATCTTGATCCAATGCGTCAAAATCAAAAATCACAAAATGAAAACAATTGATGGAATCACAAAATTGTTTTACTTTGAATGGTCAATTGAGGGCGATTATGCTGGGTTTATGTTTTTTAAAATGAGAAGTTAGATTTACCTCCAAAAATAAATTCTTTATTATGTGTGGAAAAAAGAATTTTTATTATTCGATGTAGAAACATTTTACATGATTCACAATTATTTTGAAATTTATTATTATGTTGTCTCTTTTAGTGGATGATTTAACAAATCATTGTATCTTCAAATACTTACTGCAAATTTGTAACATAATGATTATCATTAATTGTTTGGTATGAACTTTATAAATGATATTAAAAAAAAGGTTGATTGTTATCAAGGAGTTCGGTTATAATTTAATTGAGGATTTTGTTTTGTCATTACTCGTCTTCTTTGGTTTCGGGTGTTGTCTTGTAGAATCTTGTTTATTATTTTTTCAGATTCGAGCGATTTTGACTATATCGATTCTAAGAGTTAATGTCTGTCAAATTAGTTATTAATTAAAAAAAGAAAAGATAACTTACTTCAAGCATCCTCAAGGATGCTTGAATTATTTTCATCAACTGGCAATACACAATTATCTAGTTTTCCAAATCTATATATGCCAGACCCGATACAATCCATTGCATAAAAGTTTAACTCTACACCTAATAGTTAAATATTCATGTACTAGATATCATAAACATTTTTTATTCTTATTATTTCTATTTATAATGAGCAAACTTACCAATCTGTAACCATCCATATACAATTACTTTCTTGAGTTGTTCATCCATTACATATGAACAGATTTTAAAAAATTGATTTAGACTATCTCTTAACATGATCATAAGCTTTACTTTATCAACATATTGTTTTTTCCTGCAAGAAGCAGGCATGCCAAAAAAACCCAGGCCACCAGAAACCTCTCCATATATGATCTCAAATTTAGTTGGTGTTTTAATCAAGGTTCCTTTCATGTCAACTTTGTATCCAATCTTTGCTCTTGAGAAAGGATACATTTTTTCATTTCGTGCTTTATTGGTTGAAATTGCTTGTATCTCACCCCTATATTTAAAAACATTGTCATTTGAAAACCCCTCAAAAGAAAATGTTGAAGATAATGTAGGTGATTTTTTTACCAAGTGTTTTTTATATTTGGCGATTTAAAAATACCAGAAAACAATGGAAATGTTGACATTTTCAATCCTTCTTCAGTGCACATTTGAATTAAATTTGGCATCTTATACTTCCTGGATAATAGTCCAAAATAAGAACACCATATTAAATAATAAGAAAATTTAGATTATATATATTTAATACACATACATAAATTGAATGTTCACATCCAATTTGTTGAGAACTTCATCTTTGTCAATATTTATGCAATTGTCATCAAAAAATTTTTGGATGTTGTTTGGAGTAATAGTGTTTTTATTCCATCTAATTTTGTTAGAAAAGTCCTGTGATAATTTTCGAATGACTTCATCTTTTATTTCAAAGTCATTAAGATTTTCTCTAGTCAAGTCTAATATTCCCCAGTATGTCAGACTAGAATTAGCAAATAAATAAAATGTGTAATGTATTAATGAACAGGAAGTTAATTGTAAATACTTTAAAATGATGGTTCCAAACTTACGTTAAGATTTTACAAGTTTTTGGTATCTTTTGCTGATATTTATGAAATGATTCGATTGTATTTACATCAAGAAGCTCCTATTGATGATGAAATAATGTGTTTGATAAATACCCTTTGGTACTTTATTATGTTCCAAGTGTTTGTTCATAAAATATTTATATCAAGCTTTACCTCTGAATGTCTATCATTATTAGCATTTCCAATTGGTAATTGAATTTCATTTGATAGTGAATTTTCATCAACATTTTTGATTATTATTATTGATTCTTGATTGGATTCGTTAAATAAATATCCTTGCAAGTCACCATTATCTACCACATATTCAATGTTTATATTATTGATATCCTTTTTATATTTCATTACAGAAAAGTAAAGTTCAATTTCACTTAAAAAACTCAAAGACCAACTTATTTGAAAGAATACTGAATTACTTACAGAATCTACTGTAAAAATAGTGGCAAAGGAGCCTGGATAATCATTTGCTTCTTTGTTAAGATTTTCTTTATTTCCAACTATACATGCAGCCCAAAGTATTTTGACATTGTCATAAAGGGGGTTACACATGTAGTAAAGGGGTGTTACACTTATGTTTTTAATAGTGAGTGCCGTAATTAATTTCTACTTTCTACCATCAAAATTGGAATACTTTTGACCATTGAAATCACCAAACCAATTTGGGCTGCATGTATATTTCCAACTTTATTCTGGTGTATTGAACATGTTTATTATTTGTCACCTAAGCAATTTTGAAAGTCATTATAATCTCACCTTTTTCATCATCAGAGTTTTAGCACTTTTGGTATCCATTATTTCCTCTATATTATCTACATCTTGATGATTTCTCAAAGTTGTACAACTATTATCAATGTTGTGTATCATATTATCTCTGGTTGCAAGAACCTGTTGCCTCATCTAAACAACAAAATGCTATTCAGTATTTTTTTTTTGTCTTATGAATTTTCAGATTAGAGGCCCACCTGTAAGTGCTGAATATTCACATGTGCATATTTCAAATCTTTTTTCAAATTATTCTTTGATGTAGTAAAATTCTTGGCAAACAAAACACAGAATTAGTAATATTTAAAAAAAAAATTCTACAATAACAATAAAGTGCAAAGAAGCATTGAATTAAGAGCACATCCTTGTTAGACTAGCAGTCCCAGCTTGCACTAAGTGTCGAACTAGCAGTTCAGATTAAGCTTTTAACCCTTGCTAATTGATTTACGAAACTTATCCTATTTTCATTCAAACCCCGTCCCATTAAATGAACGTACCTTTCAGTCATCAAGGATTTCTTGAGCTTTTTCTTTGCTCGCCACGTCAAAATCAGAATTAGGATTTGCCACCACTTGAAGATCCTTTTTTACACGATCTAGTATTTGTTTTAAATCCTTTTGTTCAATTTTTGCACGGTAATATTCTATTATATTAATATACGTCCAACTTTCAATCGCGGTGACATAATAAAAGGCTATAAAAGCAGGTGCAGACATGTTCTTGAAATTTTTTAAAAAAAAAATTTTGTTATGTTATGATATATAACAATTGTCTGGAAAATTCATGTGCTATATAGGAGTTAAATCTCATTTCTTTCTTGTTTTATTTTTTTTTTTTTTTTTAACCTTTAGTCGAAATGCAAAGACCACTTACTAGTACTAAAAGCAATCGATATTGGAGACAAGCATCAGGGAATGCGGTAAAGGGCATTTAAACCATTTATAAAATTACCTTCACTTCATTAATTGATTCTTTGGAAAATTATTCATTATGTGAAAAACATTATAATCAGATTGTTGCTACTAAAATTTTTATTAGATCTTTTTAAATTCAGATATGAACAAAGATTCAAATATACATAAATTCAAAAAAAAAGATCCCGGGAGGTTAATATTTTGGAATTACTGCTGATACTAGAGTAGGCAAAATTATATTTGTGGCTTTGACATCTCAAAGAGCTTCAAAAAACAAGAGACATGCAAATTAGAACATCAACAACAATCGAGAACTATAATGGACCTTAATAATAAAATTGCATAACTGCAACAGCAATTAGAAAATCTAGGTAGTAGGTACCTTTTATGATCACATAAATGAAATTCAGAATTTGCATGAAAACAATTTAACAAGAATAAATATCTCATTTGAGAACTGGGATTCATGATCTGTAATAGAAATTACACCTGCTGAATGTGAATCAGTTTGCAATGACATTGGAGATTCTAGACTTGGAATAGTTATGATTCTGATGACCTAAACCAAGGAAAGATCTGTTGCAGTTATACATGGGATGGTAATTACCATAAATATGCAATTCGTAATTATCATAATTAATTACCACTTTCCTCTTTAAAACATAATTATGAAATTAATTATGGGTGATGGAACTAATTATGATAAAACTAATCACAAATTAATTATGGGAAATACCATTTTCCATACAAACCATTGTTAACAACATCGAAACCTTTGATTTATACTAAAGAATTTATTTATTATTATGTGTGAAATTATTTTACAAGTGAATTAATTAATGATAATAAAAAAATATTTTTGCCTCTACTTATTAACAAGGCATCGAAATATTAACTAATTATCCTGTTGTTGTTGTACATTTAAAATTGGGGTTTTTTATTTTTCTTGTAAACAAATAAAATGTCACGGCAAGGCTGTGTCGTTAATTCTAAAAAAAAAAATATTATATAATTCATTTATCGCATGATTTAAGTTGAATATGGATTTTTATCATTTAGTAAATTTATTGATTTAATTTATTTGATTTGTTTAAAATAAATTTGCTTCGCACTTACTTCACATTGCCACATTTACATCAGTGTTATACACGGGACATGTCCGCCTAATATTAATTGTAATAGTTAATATTAAGAATATCCGCGTAACAATTTATCACGCAACAAAACCGTAATGTTGCAACTTTACATATTACATAAAAATTATACATAGCGTTGCAACATAATCACGATGCAGTTTAAGCCAATTTTATATTTATATTGACACACTTTTAAAAACATTATTATCGTAAAACATTTGATACGGTCGGTATCTTTAAAAATGACAAACATAGATTACACGTGGCTCGGCAATGTCCATTACCGAGATGATTACCGCGTGTAAGATATCACCATATTTTGGACCAACTTTGTTTTTGTTATCAATAGCAAATTCACCTTTAATTATTTATATGAAAAATATGAAAAAGAAAAGATTTTAGAATGCATAAAACATACTCGTGGGAGGAAAGAAATTGATACAACTAGGAAATACCGTGATCTACTTTTTACTTGAATGTAACATTACATAAATATTTATAACAAATATTGCAACATTACGGTTAGTTGCAACCGTAAATTACGACCCCTCCAGGTTGTGATTGTTGCAACACCGTAATACCGTAATTTTATATTACGGGTGCCAACTTTAGCGGATGTGTCCGCTCATTTTCTTAATTTCTTCACTTAATATGACTAGGACCAGTAATATAAGCCATAAGTTAACGTGAGAAAATAAATGCCCCTACCACCTTTATTAACTCAACATATTATTGGAACAAATATTAAACTAAACCAAAGCAATTCAAAAACCTTTTGTAAAACATGCGTTGAAAAATTAGGGGAGGATGAAGGGAAGAAAAAATGGTTTCCAAATAAAAAAGATCGAATAATTCAGCATATAAAGAAATTCCCTAATTTTTTTGAAAAAATTAATGAGCAATAATTTTGAGCTGCAACAAAGCAACGATATATCATCAAAGTGTGATGCTTGTTTAAACATCTATCTTGCACACTTAAAATTGATTTACATTTTTTTTTTTATAGATATCCAAATTTCTACAACTTCTTAAATCTCCTTGACAAAATTTTCCTCAAATAAAGTGACCACCAGGTCTTCATCACATGGTCCCATGGATACTTTACATAGTTCGGCCGTTATCCACAAACAGTGCTGTAACGGGACATGTCCGCGTAACTATTTGTCATGCGGATGTGTCCGTTCATTTACTTAAATGCCCCGGGCGTTCAGTACTAGAAGTACAAGCCGCCAATTAACGCGAGAAAATCCTTTACCATCAACATATTAGTAGAACCAATATTAAATTAAATCAAAGCAATTCAAAACCATTTTATAAAACATCTGTTGAGAATCAAGGAAAGAAGAGGGAAAAAAAAATAGTTTCCAAGCAAAAAAATCGAATAATTCAGCATCTAAAGAAATGTTTCATTTAAAATAAATATGAGCGGAAATTTAGGTGCAACTCAATTACGATTGTTTAAATGGTTTTGCATAAATGTTAAAATCAAGATCGAGGAAATTATTATAATAATAACACTTTTTGACCAACGAAATTAGAATTAATTAATTAATTAATTCTATATTAATAATTTAGGGTCTTGGAGGCAGAAAGTTGATACTGTATATACAGTATAAATTTATTTTCTTTACAAATAAACGTTCTCATAATTTAATAAAACAAATTAATTCTTTTTTATTTAATAAACACTTTTGTGAACGGAAATTAAACAGTAGGGTTTAAGTGTTATTAACCAAAAACATTATCACACACTGATTATTGTGTTAAAGTAATTGTTGTAAACGTACTGGTGACTTCAATCGACCAAGAAAAGTAAAAGTAAATAAAAGGAACTCTATATGAGCATTTTTTGCTTCGTAAAAGGGCCATCTTTTTTATTGTAATTCGTTGTTAATTGTACTATAAAGCGTGCTTACAGATTCGTCAAAGCCTTTTGGGTGTAAGAAAGCGGTAACAAGCGGAAATAAATTAATTAACGAGTTAGCTAAAAGGCCAACTAAAAAGCTACCCTCGTATTATTTGCAAGCAAAATTTATATTTTTGTCCAGGAATATTCGGGACATTTAAAGTGGCTGACACGAACACGGACAGTCTGTGACCGTATCTGTTAACAACATTGTTTAATATTAATAAATATATATTTGAAATTTCACGTTGCTTATTAAATTATAATTCAATATCTTGTTGATGTTATTGCTATCTTCTTATCACTAATTTTCTAAACACGATAGAAATACGAAATTCCATATATTTATTCTCCAAAACAAATAACCTTCATTTACATAAAATTTACAATTTTTTTATTTATCAATCTTCATACATGAATATAAATTTTGTGTAATAAATATTATTGCAATGTAGATTTTTTACTAATTAGTGTAAACATACGATCTAATACTTTTGTTTAGGGAGTAAAAAAAAAAATATATACTAATACAATTATATAAATCAAAATTTATTCATTGTCTCTATGGATTCAATTCCTTCTGAATCCAGGTACAAATTCTTCAAAATATTCTAACATTCGAATTGTTATTTGTTTTATCGAACGAATCTTTAGTTTTTCTTCTTTATTTTATCTGTTTTATTCGAATTACTTGATTTGTTCATTATTATTATTCATTTTATTTATTTATTCGAATTACTTGATTTATTCGTTTTATTCATTAATTCGTTTTATTTATATATCGAATCATTTGTTTTCTCCGAGTCATTTGTTATACTTTTTAATTATTTATTTGTTTTATTCGAATTATTTTATTTATTCGAAATCACTTGATTTATTTGTTTCATCTGTTTTAACCCTAAATCTGGATCACGGTCCCGGACCGGGCCTTTGATTAGACTGACGGCTTTGGGCCAGACCAGACATTAATAATCCTAATTTCAATAATTATGCTTGCAAGTTTTGATGTTTAATTTGTGTAATTAGTGGTTGTATCTTCAATTATCCAGGTGTTTGAATACTTTGCCAATCAACAAAATTCAACACCTGAATAATTGGTCAAATTAAAAGTTTGGCTCCTGAATGACCATCAACTATTCACCAAATATCCACTGAATCTTGGATTTGTAACTACCTTTGGTTATCCCATGAGCAGATATAAAATGTGAAATATGATTAGATGTATTGTTATGCCACAGCTTACTACAACATCGGTGTCCCAGGTAAATATGCTCCTCAATCAATTGCGACTAGTTGCAACTAATTGTGGCATATAAAAATTAAATTGCAGTTGCAGCTGTGGCACATGAAAGCTGAATTGCAGCTAATTGCAGTTCTCATCTTTAGTCTCGGATATTCGATTTACATGATGCGTTTTAGGTCCATCATCACCATTAATAATTTCAATTAGATCCATCCATATCCAGATGGATTTTTGGAACATCCTTTTTTGCTCTTTTGATGGTTAAATTTCTTTTGAATGACATTGTGATCATTTGATATATTATATTGTTATACATGTATTGAATAAATTTCATTCAATTAACATTAATAATAATAACTCATTTATTATTTCTGTATACCATCAACTATTGGTGAAAATTTTCAGCACCTGATTGATTGATCGGATAATTGAAGAATGTTATCCAATGGATATAACCACTATATGCAATATTTCATAATATTATGAAGACTGACATAAACTTATGTAAATAGTGTAATAATTATGTAAATTCTTGTCAGAAAAAAATTTCTTGGTGCATTACAGCTATACAGCCATAAATAATTATGGTTATACAGTTTATGACTTTGGAGCATCGTTCCAAATTTATTTACAATCTTTACCATATATAATACCGAATTTGCCAAAAAATTGGCAAATGGCACAGCACAAAATTATTTGCACTATGATAGCTTTTACATCTAATATCTGATATCAATTAAAACGCTTGGAAGTATTAAAGCCTAGCTGTAGAAGTAACGTCTTTAGGTCCTAGATAAGTATTAATTAATGATTAATTATAATATGGAGAAAGTAACAGATAAATAATATAGTGCAAAAGCTTATAATATGAATGAAAGTTTCCTTGTTTCAAAAAGTCTAGATCACCCCCTCCCCAAAAAAATATCGAACATTAACTTTGATAACGAATTAGTGATGTCAGCTGATGAGAATTCTCGGATGACCAAGAATAAAGAAATTCTTATCACTAATTTATATATTGGTGTTTTTATTTGTAATCAAACCAATGACAACTATTATTTCAGAGAATTTTCTTTTTAAAGATTATTTTGACTGAGCTCCTTTTCTTTTTTTTGAGGATGTTGAGACCCATCAAACAATCCTAGTTTGTACAACTGCTATATTTTTGTAAAGTCATAATAAAACCAATTATTTTTAGAAATGTTTATATCAATAAAGTTGGTTAGTAAATTTTATCATTTTATATTGAAAATATTTATTTTGCCTTTTTTATGATATGAAATTTAATGACATCGTGAAAAACATCAATGTATATAATTTCGCTGAACCAAAAAGGATAAAATTAAAGTTTGTGGTTAATTTTATTATCATTAAACTATTAAAGGATCGGCAAGACCAATAAAAAGTTGTAAAGTGGAATAACAGCAAAACCATCAACTATTATTGGTTTACTAAAATGGTATGTATCTACTCCTCAAGGGCGATCAATCAAAACAATTATTTAGAAATCGAGAAATAATTCGTTGCAAACAGATTTTATTATTATTTCTATCTATTACATTCGTCAAAAAATACTTTCACATACGTAATATTTTCCCACCTAGCCCATTTTATTGGCTAAAGTTCGTACACGCGATAAATCAAATTTGCTTGTAGATTTTCTAAAATGGGAATTCAGCCACTCACCTAATAAAATTTGATACATTCTCCTGTTTCAAAAACTTGTTCAAATACGATGCAATAAAATTTAACTAGTTGGAATACAGGAACCTCATTTATAATGGATCTTGTCGTTAAGAACAAAATTACTGGTCATGCATTGTGGATAGTAACTTGATCTTTTACC